AAAAAATGATTTTTGGAAGGATGTCATTAAAGCATGGAAAGAATTTACAATATTATATGTTCCAAAAAATAAAGAGTGTTTAGATCCAGTATTTTCCAGCCCCTGAAAATTGTATCTTTTTATGCTTTGCAAGAAGATTATGATGTTAAAATTAATGTCTTACAGTTTAGTGGTTTAAAAAGTGTAAATATGCAATTTTCCCACCAGTTAGACGAACCAGGAAACAGATTGGTGCAACCATGTACAGGATTCAAAACTACAAGTATTCAACAAGAAAAAAAAAAGGTTGTACACAAATTTATAACACTTATTTATTCCAAAACTGTACATTTCAAATGTATTCAAAGTCGAATGACACTTCAAACCGGCAAATTACAAGATCGCAATGGTACAAGATATGCGAATATAATTGGAAATCAACCCAAGAAATTAAGTTGCATTGGTTTCAATTTAGAATTTTAAACCGAATTTTATGTACGAATACTCTATTGGTTAAAATGGGTAAAGGTGACAATTCTCATTGCATGTTTTGTAAGAATTTTGACGAGTCGATTATACATTTATTTTGGGACTTTGGTATTATTAAGATATACTGGAACAGTTTCCTGATTTGGGTAAAATGATTCCTTGAATGTAAATTTAGTGTTAAGTAAAAAAATGATCCTTTTGGGAAAATTTGAACAAAGAGATTATGTTTTAAATAACATAATAGTGGTTCTAAAATTCCATATTTATAAATGCAGGTTCAAAAATTGTATGCCTATCTTCAAGAATGCATTAACTGAGATGAAACATTTCTACAAAATGGAAAGGTATATGTTTGATACCAATTGTAAGAAAAATAACTAGCGCACTCTTTTAGAAGAAAAATAACTTCTACAATGGAATGCATAATTTATTTTAACAAGTCTGGTCTTCAAAAACTTATTTATTACGCCAACAATTACATACTATCTCATGGGTTACGTTTCAATCCCATTAAGACATTAGATAATCATACCTTGAAAGTCACAACTTACCTCGGGATCACACCTAACAGCAATCTAAAGGGAAATTCTCACGTTGATGCGAGAATTCGGTAATTCCCAGAAAGCCTTCTTTTCATTACAAAGTATCGGCATGTGTAAACAGGGCTCTTGTACTGAGGTGAAGCTTCACATTTGGAACACTGTAGTTGTTCCTATTCTTACATATGGTTGCCAATGTATTAATATCAATAGAGTTGACAACATGGATAAAATTCAAAGTAAGTTGGTAAAGGCATTTCTTGGTATCCCTAAATTTTGCAGGTCGACTCCTGTGTTACATGCGCAGTTAAGTTGCCCAAGATTAAAGATATTATTTTGTCATCCCAGCTCGGTCTTTTGTCAAAAAATATTTGCTAATGACCCCACCTCCAGGAAATTTTATGCCTATTTACTTAATCGTGAAGCTAACGGTAACATGGTATACAAGAACACGCTTATTGATAGGATAAAGAAAGGCCTGGTTGACTTGGATATTTCTCTTTTCTCGACACTATTTAATTATAGCTATAGACGAAAATTGAAGCCTTCAATTAAGAATAGTGATTGTATTAACCACGGTATTTGTGACAGTCTTAAGACATTAATCGATAGGAAAACATGTATTAATCAACGAAACCTCGACTTAATTATCATGCTCACCAAACCATTTTAACTCTGGTTGTCCTCTCCTCTGGATGAGGGTTTTGTTTGTTTGTTTCCCGTTTTCTCTGTTTTCTTTGTAATTTTATTGCTTGTAGTTTGTGTTTCTCCTTTCTGGAGGTTTTTGAATAAAATTGAACTTAGTGAGACGTGAACAAAAACTTATGTTACTCCGTGGCATTACATGGATATGTGGATGAATAAAAATAAAAGAAAAAGAAATTAAATTAAAAAAAAGATTGCTTCCACGATCTCAATTAATTATTTATCATGAAGATCCTTGATATGGGTATTCCCTGACGAAACCTTTCCACCGATGGATAAAAATTACTCTTTTACCTACTCGGGAAATGATACTCCAACTGTGGCGGGTCCAGTAAGTCGAAATAGAGGATCCCAGGAAGGGTCTTGCGCAAATAGAATGTCCATCCACCCCAGCCTCATAACTATTGGGGCTAAGATAAGAAAAAAATATGATTATGGCACCTCTAAATGGCCGGAATTGGCACTCTGAAAATAAAAGTTGAATACAATTTTGTTTGTTTTCTCCATTTTATTTTTATAATTTAAAATAAGGAGGTTGGGGGCCAGTGCTGACTGGGTTCCCTCTTGAATCTGCCACTGTTCAATATAACACTTGACATGCCTATCATTTTTTTTTTCACAAATTATTAATTCCTAAAGTAAAGCGAAATTTTTTTTATTTGAAAATTTTTTTTTTGACTTAATACAGTTTTTACAGTGTACTGTAAATTAAGGACAGAATTATTCTGTAGTTATCGTTCAGAGAACTTTATTTTTAAAAATGGCCTAATTCTTGTTTTTTTTTTTTGTTTTGTTTTTGTTTAGATGGAGTTCAAATGTGCTTATATTGCGCTAGTTTGAAGGTTTACTGTAAGCCAATCAGTTACACTTACTGTACATCTTCGTGGTTAGCATAAAGAGAACTAGGGCGTCACTCCATTAAGAGTGCCTACCTCCCCCCATATGCCTAAAGGCCAACTCAGACAGCGTCGTACGACGCAGCCCGACGCGATTTGTTGCGTGAATACCACGAATACTTTTTAAAAACACAGCAGCCCGTCTTGTCAAAAAACTACCCAAAAGACAGCACCATCATTCCCATTCTTTTAAAAAAAAACTCTACATTGGCTACCAGTTAAACAGCGCATTGCATTCAAAATTCTTGTTCTTTTACTACAGGATGCCACTTGAAATACGGATAGAGGCCTTTCCGCGTTGCTCCTTCCAAGCTTTGGAATGGAATTTCTATCTACATTCGGAAGTCTTCCTCGCTTTCTGTTTTCAAGCGAAGCCTTAAATCTGTTAATTTTCCACTTGTGTTGCTAGGAAAGGCTAGTCCAGAAGCCAACACTATCCGAGCACCTGTGAGTAATGTACCTGCTAACCACTCTTGTAGCTGGTTTCAAATTTCAGGTGATAGTGTTGGTTTTTCTGTAATAACATTTAGGTTATTTATTCTGGCTTAGTTGACCTAGTAGAATAGATTTTACTTTTTGGGGTTTTTTTCAGTACAGCGCATAGAGACCACGTATTATGCACTATATAAATCTCCAACAATTAGCCTACCATTACCATGATCTTACCGGCTTAATGATCCCGTACACAGTGGTTGTAACAGTTTGGAAGACAACTCCCAAAGTTTTATAAATTAATTCATTCTTAATTAGGCCTACTGCAATTTAGAGAAAAGTATTGTCAAAAAAGTTGAAAGGTCCATAGGCAAAACAAAAACAAGCACATGATGGATTTTTGTTTAATGTAGCATTAAAAAGACATTGTGATGCGAACATCATTAATAAATTCATATAATGTATAGATTTTATGTATTTATTTGAAAAAGTAATAGAATTATTAGAAAAAGTGGTCCGGTTCTGTCGGCTCTGTTGCGACGTTGAATGTCAGTTTTTTTTCCTGACTGTCCAAGAAGCATGTCTTTTTAAGAAGTTAAATAGACATGACGTGACTGGAATTCACCCCGAATAACAAATTCATCCCAAGATACTCGGCACCAAGAGGTCTTACCTCTAATAAGAATTAGACTTAAACGAAGCCATTGATTTTAAAACCGATAAGGGAGCAAGAAATGATAACACGTCTGTAAACAGTAATGCGTTCCATCTATCTTATACCCCTGTGGTTCCATTTAGCGTTGTGCGAGTATACTCTATAATATTTTTTTTACCTTTTCGAGGGGCGCTTATTCAATCGGGGCGTTTATGATAAAAACAGCATTGAAATTGAGGGGATGCTTATGACAACTTGGAAATCCAAAGGGCGCTTTTTTAATGAAAAAAAAAAATTATGTAAGGACATCTGGAAACCCCAGATAAACGAATGGTTATGGTATATAAAAGATAATCGTCCATGGCCAGAGAATGAAGTGAGTATTTACACACAACAGTAGACGAAATTAGTGGTGGTGGTAAGCGTGTTGGCCATCTGCCGATTGAGATTAGCAGGATAATTGTAGGGTTTCTTGCAAGCTCAAATGAAAACGTGTTAAAATATAAAGATGCAAATTGTCGGGAAAAGAAAGAGAGAAATAGGACTAGTAATTCCGAGCCGATTCAATGAAAAATGGTAAAGAGGAAAGTTAAAAAGATACTGTCCAGGAAAATATTCACTGTCCAGAATATATTCATTTTGAAATTGGCGTAAGAAGAAAATGTGAATGCACTCCACAACTCAAGTCAATTAAGTGATGTTCTTTACTGTACCGTACGATTGATATTTTTTAAGGAATCTCTTATTCAAATTAAGAGGGGCGCTTAAGAAAATGTTCAGGTTAGAAGGGCGCATATTCAAACGGGGAACTTATTCGCGATAGTACGGTACACACAGTAGTACATGATGATGATAATGATGGAGTTGGAGTGAGATGAAAATTTTGTTCATGAAGGAGCAGAGAAAGGATCGAGGAAGAGATACCGTGAAGTCCGGCAACACCTTAGCAATTATAAATTGTAAGGCTCCGACATTTACTTCCTGACCTGATTTCGTTCAAATTTTGCGTTTGTGTGATGGCAATTTTTAACAAAATTTCGTTCATGTATTGTTCATGTTAGGCATTCCGCCAAGCACTAAAAAACTATTTTTACAAAGCGATGTTTTTTGGAAACTATTGATTTGGACGTAGTCTAGCCATTTGACCCATAAAATAATTTTATGGACTGCCACTGCAATCACAACTAAAGCACTATTAATTAATAAGTAGAAATTATTCTTTAAAGATCAAACACAATCCTGGTGCCACCCGCCTCGGGTATTTAAGAACAGAAAAATAAATATACTTTACTTTCTTGGCTTTATTTTTTTTTATTATTTCATATAAGGTATTTAATTGTATAATTATTTTGTATCAGTATAGGTCTATATATAATACAATGGAAAGTCAGTAAAGATATAAGTATAACTGAATGTTCAATTAAATATTGGATACTCCATCGGGATTTCTAGAACTCTGTTGAAAATTTATTTTATATCTTCTTCGTCCTATTTATTTAGACAAGACAGGGAAGAATTGTAAACAGTAGGCTCATCGTTACTACCATAGTGTGGTGAGCAGCACCGTTTTCACCATCGCCGCCGCCGCCGCCGCCGCCGCCAGGAAGTGTTGGAGCTGCAGTTGTAGTAGCGGGATACCCTGTGTCTACTTCTGGATTCCAATTATTGGAGTTGGGCATAACGTACCAACTGTATTTGTAATCAGAGTTGCAACCGTCTTCCAGGCAACAGCTTATACACATAGTGTTACCTACGGGTGAATCGTCAAAACACGCTGAACCAACAGGATCAAGAGTATTACCATAAAATCTGTCGTAACATTCATCCTATAGGGAAAATGAAAAAATGTGATGCAATTAAATAGCAAATAGATTTTTTAAAAGTTTATAAAAAAATAGGTCATTTAGTAATATGTACAGTATAAAAATATAGTAATAATTAAAATTGCTAAAAATCAGTGATCCTGTAAATAGTACAAAATATTGTTAAAGTAGTGTTTCCATTCAGAAAGGGGGTGTGATCCTTATTTTGCATATTTAAGCTAATTTCCATATAAATGGACTCGTGATTGAGACGAAATTTCTGAAATTTGATCCTCTCATCATATGTATTCTTTCATAAAAGAAAAACTCTTCTGTTGGAATATGTTCATATTATGGAGAATTTATCAAAATGTAGTTCAAATTTTCCAAAATGTAGTTTTTATTTCTCTAAAATGTAATTCAAATTCAAAACGTAGGTCTGACTTGATCAAACGCCCTCTCCAAATTTTGTTCCAAAACGTAAATTAAAAACATCCAAGCATGATTGGTTTGAATTACATTTTACAACAACTAGACATACGAAATGTAAATCAAAACTAGCCAGCCAAGCATGACGTGGGCTTGTTCCATTAATTCAATTTCAATTCAATTCAATTTATTTAAAATTGCCTCCAAAAATGGAGAGTATATAAAAGCAAAACAAAACATCAATACACATTAAAATACATAAGATACATCAAAATCATGCGCTTAGAAATGAGTAATTGACAGTAACAATAACAATTATTCAATAAAATTGCTGTATATATAT